GCAGCAGTGGTGGAACAGCTGAGAAAAACAAAACCTAAAATCCTGGCTCCTACACAAATGTACTCTGCAACATGTCCTTCTCGACAGGCAGTGCAGAAGCCATCCTCACTTCCTCTAACCAGCACATAACCACTTTTCACCATCACAAGACATTAAATTTTTCATCATCCAGTGTGCTTGTAATCACTGCTTTGCTATCTAGCCTGTTAACTATCTGTTACACTTGACCTGTCAAGTCCTTTTCAACCTAAATGCATAAGCTAATTTCCTGATACCTGAAAGCCTGTAAAGAACCTCATGTTTTCAGGGCTGCAATTTTCATGTATGGAAAACATTCTCTGCTGTGCTCCTTGTCTTTTTCTGGCCACTCATTGATGAGAAAGGACAGTATTTAAGAGCAGCCACAAACAACCTCTTTTGGTTGAGTGGCAGTACAGCAAATTTGTCCAATATACCTGCAACACTTCATATAAAGGTCAATGTGGTACATCAGTGTGGTTTACAAGGAGCAAAACCACAGAAGGCTGACCACTGGGACTGTTAAACTGAGGCCAGCACGGCCACTGGCTAACCACCTAAGTTTAGATTGAGAAGTGACTGATGTGGTCAGAAAGCACCAGGCACTATGCCTGGCCAGCACAGTATAAGTGTCTGCCATGACTCTGCTTGTGTTGGAGCCCCCTTGGTTGGGGGGCAGTACACTGCAGGAGGTGCCCTCATGTACCAGAGGGCTGACCTTGAAGCAGGAGAGAGGTTTATAGTGGTGGTTTTCTGCAGCAAGGAGGACAGGCAGTTCTTGGACCGTGTTGAGGGCAACAACAGGGCAAAACTGGTACAGCTTATGAGGGACCATATAGTTCTGCATACACTCCCTTGCCTCTCAAATACACCTCACTGTGCTTATCCCTACACTGTCAGAGATAGAATCCTGACTGGCTGCTAGCAGAGGAGCAGTTGCTTGTGTTGGTGTACGTGCTGCTCTGCTTTCTGCGAGTGACTTGTGTTGCAATGACTGGGATGCACTTGCAGAGGTGTTCCCTCTTAGCCTGTAAACTCTATGGCCTCCACAAGGGCTGGACTTGGGCACTATAGGGTTGCTGCTGCTAATGCTGCTTCCTCAGAGGCCTGTGGAGAAAAACTTTGGTGATTTATGATCATTCTTTTCATAGTGCCCAGATTCTCTGGCCAAATCTTCAACAGTCTTGTACCTTTGACCACGTCCTAGGGTGACTGTTAGGAGTAAAGGTCTGTACAAGGTGACCTACCAGTACTGGTAAATGCCTTTAATACTGTGAGGGGCAGCAGGTAGATGGCAATGTCACAGTCCTATTCTTCCTGGCTCCAGACCATGGGAGGAGGCAGCCCTGTCAATATGGACAAAAGGGATGGGAGGAAAGCCAACCTGTGCACTTTTCTGCTGTGTTTCTTATAGCTGTTTCTAAGTGATAAAGGAATGGATAACCTCCTTATGCTTCTGATTAGTCTTTTGATTGCAGTGGAGGGTTCTCATAGGTTTTTGTGTTGCTCTGGAACATGCTGCCCTTCATCTGAGTCCCTCTAATGTCATTCTGACCTGTCACAGTCTCTGTCAAGAGGAATGGTCTTCTACCCCAGCTAGCAAATGTGCTCTTTCTTCTCTACCACCAACATGACACCACAGAACAATTCAGCCAGACCTTAACTGGGGTGTTCACTGACCACAGCATCACTGCAATATGGCTGGGTGGCAGATGTGTGGGGGACAGAGAGAGGGTGGCCTGAGGTTGGACCTTCTCATGACAGGAGACTCGTGCAGACCATATGTGTGAGGATGAAGGTGTACTGCTGACTCAGACAATATGGAAGGGGAGAGCTTCTTCTGTTGTAGTGTTTTACCAGGTAATTTCCCTGCAGATCAAATGCCAGCACGATTAAATAATTTTGCCTAGTAATTCAGTGGGGGGATGAAATCTTTATTAGCTGATGGCACAGCTTTGACAGTGACAATGTGTAGCCTGCTGTATCTGAGGATGACAAAGGTTGGCATGTGTACAGTCACATATGGATGCCATTAAAGTTCAGTTCCCTCTGCAAGGCCTGAATTCTTAGAAATCAACACCACAGACAAGTGCCTCACTCTCAGCCAGAATGGAGTGAAACTGCAGTGTGGTTTTTTGCAGGAAGAATTTTCTGGCTGATGGAAATCAGGCTGAGACACTTGTTTAGAAAGCATGCTGTCGTTATGGCTGCTTTCACCTGGAAAGAGGACTCACTGATGTCCTTTTAGCGTGTGGGCCCCTTTACTGCTTTCTTACATCTACACACAGTCCAAGTCAGAGAAAAAAAGCCAGTTTATAAGCTCTACATTCACTGGAGGCAGCTGTTTTGGCAAAGGACAGAGGTTACAGAAGAGAAGTTGGTATGCTGGCACTTGTATTTTGTGCTTCATCTTCAGTCCTCTTGATCTCAGACAAAAATGATGTACCAGCAGCCTGCCTATTCTATGCTTGTAAGAACAGACAAATTGCAGTACTGTAGGGCTTGATTAATTTGCTGAAACAAAAGTGTTGAGTGCTGTTTGAGATGCCCTGGGTAGCCCTGCCTGGCTTCTAGCTCCTAGTACAGGAGGGACTCTTTTTTCCTGTGTAACCAATATTGCAGCTATCAATCTCAAGTGAGTGCTTCAAATGTGCTAGGGCACCTCAAAAGACACAGGATGCTTGTGCATGGATAATTGACACATCTTTCTTTGTAGTGTCTTCCCTACTGAAGGTCGCTGATGAGCTGCTCCCAATCAGTTTTATCCTTCTGATGTTAGAGAATGTGTGCAGCCCAAAGGTGGGAGGAATCTTTATGGTTTTCTGTTGAAAATCTCTGCAATGAAGTCTACAGTATACCTGTCAACTACCCCTCACCACCCACCACTGCAAATCACTCTTTGAAATGCAAAGCTTGTACTTGTCTTCTGTTTGGTGAAGGCAGCATAGGCTTGAAAGACATTTTTAAGCGTGTGAGAAGGAAAGATCAGGCAGCTGTTTATATTTTGACATCAGAACTCTTCCAAATTCCAGAGTGCAGAGCATCTGTAACGTATATTTTCTTTGCATATTGTCTTTTATGCTAGGATTGACAATTTAAATCCTTGGGGATTTGATCATGTTGTGATGAGACAGATGGTAAGATAGAAAGTCAGATGTCTTGGGTTTGGAATTGGGTCTGTGAGTACTTAAATGAGGATATGGAAGATTATAAATTGTTAACTTGCTAATGTAATCAGCCTGCTTGTTATGTTGCCCAGTAATGATGATCTATATGTACATCTTTGTTGAGTAAATGCTGAGGGGAATGCTCAGCATGGCTGCTTTTGTATGCAGAGACAAACTCAAGCTAAAATGGCAACCTAAGAGGTGCTTACGATGGATCACTAGAAGTTTTTATCTTGGTCTTCTCAAACTTGAAAATGGCACTACAGTGTGCTTTTAGATTTCAGCAGATAGCTGGATCTCAGCTTTCTCATCCTGCATATGGACAACCTGCCAGAGTCACAGATTCTATGTGTCCATTCCCCCCCCACCCTGAGACAGTAGACGGTGGAGTCAGTTCAGTCTCACACACCTGAAGGTCTTGCAGTGAGGGACCCAGAACTGAACACAGTACTTGATGTGTGGCCTCACCAGTGCTGAGTACAGGGAATGATCACTGCCCTGGCCCTTCTGGCCACACTATTGCTGATACAGGGCAGGATGCTGTTGGCCTTCTTGGCTGCCTGGACACAAGCTGACTCATGTTCAGCAGTGGTCAGCCGGCACCCTTAGGTCCTTTTCCATGAGGAGCTTTCCAGTCACTCTTCCCCAAGCCTGTGGCATTGTATGGGATTGTTGTGGCCCAAAGGCAGGACCTGGCACTGAGCATTGTTGAGCCTCATACAACTCACCCTGTATCATATATATATACACCTTCAAACACAGCACAATGTTTTCAGGATTTGTACAAGACATAACAAAATGACATAGAATCATAGGAATCATAGGATAGTTAGGGTTGGAAAGGACCTTAAGATCATCAAGTTCCAACCCCCCTGCCATGGGCAGGGACACCTCACACTAAACCAGGTCACTCAAGGCTCTGGCCAGCCTGGCCTTGAACACCACCAGGGTTGGAGCATTCACAACTTCCCTGGGCAACTCATTCCAGTGCCTCACCACCCTAACAGTAAAGAACTTCTTCCTTATATCCAATCTAAACTTCCCCTGTTTAAGTTTTAACCCATTACCCCTTGTCCTGTCACTACAGTCCTTAATGAAGAGTCCCTCCCCAGCATCCCTATAGCCCCCCTTGATTCATACTGTTATTTGCATGCCCCCTTGTTACTTTGTGCCTTATTATTTCTATTGCTCCAAGTAGCCTTATCCCCACGCATCAGGATCCAACTGTGTTGGAGACTGCTCAAACAGCTACAGAAAACTCACTCTGCTACCTTGTGCTTATGGTAAAATTCCAGTCAAAAACCAGCAGATGAATGGGAAGGCAAGAAGATGAACAGCGTTCAGCAGAAAGCTAGAAGTCATCACAAGTCTTTTCAAGACAGCAAATAAAATGTCTTGTCCTATACCTAGTTAATATTCTCTTTGACTTTGCAAGGGTGAGGACTCTTAAGTTGAATACCAGAAACAGCAGGCATAAACACAGAATAGCATGCAATAGGGTAAAATAGATGTCACCTGAAAATTGTTTTAATAATTAATGAAGATGTGGGATACAGTGAACTGCTCTTAATTAAAATGCATTCATTAAAATTGTCAGTTCACATGGTTTGTGGAATCATTAGGAATACTAAAAATAGATGGATTTACTCTTTCCCTCTACAAACAGAAATTTTTCCTTCTTAGATTTGCCTAGATATGTTCCGCTCATTTCCTAAAGAACCAAGAAACTATGCATATGATAACTAGCATGAGGTTTAAGCATGAATAGTGCTAGTTCAGACCACTGATCATTCTTTTTTCATTTATTTTATGTAGGTTTCCTTTGCCTGATCTGTAAACATGTCCACAGACCTGCTATGTAAGTACATTTCCGTTATCCCACAGTGATTTTTTTGTACCATATGTTTTTATCAGATCCCCAGATGTGCTCATGATTGATGTCTTTTAAGTATAAAGTCTGCATTTTTTCTGAGACATCTGTGGAACAATATTGCCATTATAATCAACGGGATTATTCTTGGAGTAAACCATGACTTAATATGAGTAAAATTGTAAAAATCTGGCCTATGTATAAGAACAGACTGGTTCATTGAGACTTAAAATTACAATTCTATCTAAAATGTTTTATCTATCTTTGGCACAAATACCATCCCAGATTACTACTGCGTGATGTGCTTGGGTTTTTTTAATCACTTTATGAATTTAACTCTGATGTTTCCAATGCATCTTTATCCGAGTCACATCCAAATCTCATGCCTCATCGCTATTATTCATCCTTCTTTTTCTACAATAAAGAATATACAAGTGGCATATCCTGATGCTTTCCTGTCATAACTACCACAAAACTCTGCTGCTCAGGTCTCCCCAATACTTGTACTCTCTTGCTCCAGCTTAAGTGATCTGCAGCATTAAGCACATTTTCTATGCTTATTGATCTGATCTACACGCTTTCTTTTGGAGGCCCTCCAGTGCGTCAGCTGCCATTTTTTATCATGGCCTCTGAGGGTGGCCCAGCATGCACACTGCAGTGTAAGACAGGGAAATTTCAGAAACCCACTTTATCAATCTCCAGTATTTCCTCAGAGGAACAAAGAAAACATTTTTTTTGGCTCAATAACTGTAATCATTTAATAAATATAAAACCATCAGTGGCTTGCTTGGCAGATAGCAGCTGTCTGTGAAGGTAATATTTTCAAGATCGAGTTATTTGCAAAAGTGCAATTTTTTTGAGCTTTATCTGCTAACTGGCAATTTTGAGGCATGCTTGAGTACCATTTAGATGCAGGAAGAACTCTAAAATGAGGATTGTAATATACCTGACTGTATCATATACCACAGGCAAAACTGCTATCAGGAGTGAAATGTTAAAGGAGAGAGGGCAGGGTGACTGCACAGTAGTCAGGGTCGAAATCACTTAAGACTCCTTAACTTTACTCAGATGTGTAAGCTGGTTTACTGTTTAAGCTGTTTTATGCCCTGGCAGTTTCATTTTTCTCTTCTCAGCTCAGCCTCAGCACCTCTCTCATTTTCCTAATGACCAGTGGGTTAGAGACGTTGTCACCTGAGTAGAGGTTGAAGGAGATTTGTGTGTTCAGCCTGGGGAAGAGGAGGTTTAAGGGGTCTTCCCATACAGAAATAATAGTTTATAATAGAAATAATATGGGGATGGAGGTAGAAGTACTTTTCCCAGTCATGCCCATCGCAGGACAAGGGGTGATGTCAACAGGTTCCTTCACGGGAGATGCTGCTGGCTGTAAGGGGCATTTTCACTGTGGGATTGAATAAACATTGGAATAGGCTGCCCAGAGAAGTGGTGGAATTTCACACTGTAGAAATATTTGAGAGATGGCTTGGCAGGGCCCTGGGTAACACTAATCTAAGGGCCAGCTCTCAACGAGAGGCTGGTGTAGATGATCTCCACAGGTCTCTTGTAGCGTGGATAATTTTGTGGTTCTGTGTTCCCTTGTGTCCTCAGCTATCTTCTGTGCAGTGACCTGTCATTCCTGCCACCTGTCCTTGGTCATCTTGGTATTGTACTGCTTGTGCTGCAACAGGTCCTGTGATACTCGGTCATACTAGAGGGGTAGACATTTGTCTTCTCACTTGGAGATGTGCAAATAACATCGAGGCTGTAGCAGTGCTGGTGGAACCTTCTGGGTTCCAGCTGGTGGGAGAACACTAAAGAATAACATGGCAGATCTGTACACATGTGAAATGATTCTAGATCTTTATGTCTGTTTTTATATAAATAAATAGCACAGAGCCAGCCCATGAGCTCAGTACTGGCCTATGCAAACAAGCAACACCAGGGTGTGTTTTGGGGATAACATCTACCAGACTCTGTTCCAGGTAAGGAATTTGAATGTAACCAGACTGTTTGTGGGGGGAAAGGGAAGAAGATGAGTGTTTAGACACATGGAGGTGATGCCAAATGGTCTCAGCATCAGGGAACAGTTTCGGGCTCTTACTGTTTAGAAGTAGACATGTAGCCTAACCATGCAGTCCCTAAGGCTGACCACAGCGTCATCTTTCACTAATGCTTGGTTCAATACAATGTCAAATTCTAGGATTAAAAATCTTGTTCCAGGTCACATTAATGAAGACTAGATATATAATTAAAAAGAAAAAAATCTAATCAAACCAGAACAAACCCTTTTAGATTCCTAGGAAAAGAACACTGCAGTCTGGGGCAAACTGCACAAAGAAAATGTCATGGCTTCACAATACAAGGGCTGCTGCAATTAGGCCTTAAACTCCAGCATCTAAGTCTTCAAGCCTGTGGAAACAAAACGAAAAAGCCAACATCCCGGTGAAGTTTCAGCACAATGAATTTGAGGTAGCGAGTGTTTCTCTGTTTTAGATGGAGAAGCTAAGTAGGGAGAGAAGTTTATAAAATATTTGGCAGCTACTGAGGCTCGGCTGGTCGGGGAAGCAGTGGACTTCCCTTGGAGCTTGTTTTTCTCTTTATCCTTGGATGAACTAGCGTGCAGTATATTATGCTGCCTGAATGTAGGGGTTTGTCACGGTTAGCGCCGGGGGCTGTCCCGGGAATGTAGGAAGGCGACGAGCATGAATGGAGCACGCGGTGGTCGGTGGGGTTTGAGCCCGCTTTTCGGGAAACCTGTTGCTGCTCCTCTTGGCCTGGCCTGCCAAAGCCATGCAGGAAAGGAGGTGGGTCTTTGATCTCTTTGTTGTAGCTGCTCCCTGGGAATTTGCTGAAATCAATGCCCTGTTTTCCTGAAGAAATGAATGGCTATGCCTAACTAGCTTTGTGAAGCGCTGGGGAATTCACCGCTTCTGTTTATTGACAGCTGAAAAGGAGCACATGGTGCTGAATGGGTCCGCCTGGGGAAACAAAACAGAGTGGAGTTAGACTTAGTTGAACATAGGGGCATTTGGAAAAGTCTGCTGAAGGAGGATGGCACGTCTCCTGCCACCTTGCGCTAGCAGAGCCTGAGTTTTTACTGAAAATGCCATTTTGAATAAGGTAAGGATTGTTTCAATTTCCCATATGTAGTGTGATTGTGAAATGTTTGCATTTCTGTTCTTGAGTGCAAAACCAAGATGTTTGAATGTATTCTGTCATGGGAAACACCTAAGTGACTATTGTGCAGTTTCCAGGCTCAGTCTGTGTTGATTAGTACTTTATCTAATGGTGATTAATCAATCTGAAAATTAATAATTTGGTATTTGGGTCTTGCATTAAGGTTTTGAACATCAGTCATTTGTGTAGGCTGTTATATTAAATTTTTTGTCTTTGAGAATCAGCCAAATTGCATCAGATGATTTCCTGACTGATACAAATTGCTGTGTTAGGACTTACACACAAGGCAGTGACTAACAAGCGGGCCTGTCCGGCAGAAAATCAGGAATCTAAAATCCCTTGAAATGTAAGGATGTATTTCCAAACCTCTGTTTCTATAGACAGATGCGAGGCAAGAGATAGACTTGCTGTTATGCTTGCTGATTTAAGATGTACAGACTTTTGTAAAGACAGCAAAGAATAGCAAGAGGAGGATGATAATGAAGAAACAGTGTTTTCTGCGTGTGAGTTCAGAACAGTTTATCAGCCCAAAGGAATTTGGTATGTAATTCATATGTAAATTTTCTACTGAAAACAGGAGAACAAATCACCAGAGTTTCTATATTAGTTTCTCTGGTGACTGAAGAAAAATATTTCTGAGCTCACACAGCTATTTTCAGGTGTGGTCCACTTATGACTGCAGGAAAAAAGTTAAGTAATGTCATTCCTTCCTACGTCAGTTTAAGGGCAAGCTCTGAACACAGTAATTTCCATTGTGCTGCCTTATTCTTACACGGCAGCAGGAACTTCTGAGCTTGTGTTGCAAACCTGATGGAAAGTGTCTGTGCATGCATACAGTTGTTTGAAAACTACTGAGTAGTCCTCTAATTTCAGGGCAAGGGCTTGGGAAGTTTCATGTTTTATCAGAGTAGTTTGTGTTCCTCAGTCTGGCATTTTTTCTTTGAGTGACTTTGAGCTAGTAATTGTACTAGTTTTGTTTCATTCTGTGCTTCTCTGCAGCAGATAGCTTATCTGTTTTTCTTGGAAGTATTTGGGCTCTATATGCAAACATGTTTTGTGTGATCCTAAAAATGAAAGTATATTGCTTAACTGTAGAGAGTCAATATTTTTGCTTCTGCCTTCTGCCTTTAAGTTTCCAAGATTTTCAGAAGGAAAAGCAGAAAAACCAAATGCATTTATGGTTTTGACAAAGACATAAAAACACTGAACTCAAGCAGGCTGCTATTGGTGTTTGTGGGCTCTGTTGCAATTATTGTTATCCAAATGTGTTAGGAGTAGGTTTTGACCTCACTTAAATGTATTTATATGTGACAGACATTGGAAGGTGCTAAAATTTAAAACTAATATACAGTTAACATCTAAGTTAGAAAGGAGATACATTTGTAGGTCATTAGAGCATTAATTTAGATGTCTTACGAAAATGTTGACGGGTAAGGGCTATTGAGTAGTCAAAATGGCATAAATAGAAAAGAATTGCAGTTGTGGAAAACTCAGTTGATCAGAGTGTTTTTAGTTAGTATAATGGAGAAGAAAGTAGATGATTCATGTGTGACACAGAAGGTGGCATTTGTTCTCCCTTACTTGGGCGATAAGGCAGGACAGAGGGTGTTATATTTAACTCCTGTGGAAGGAAGTACATGGGGGTGTTTTGGCAGGACAGTTTTCTCTTTGCCTTTTCTAAAATGAAGGATCTTTATAAAACATGAATATCAGTGTGACCTATTGGCATTGTTGAAGTGGGTGGAGATTATAATTGATTTCCAATCAGTGGAGTAAGATATACCAAAGTGGGATGCGTGATCATACACAGCTCTAAGTAAATATGCATATTAAGTGACCAGGGTTATACAAATACATAACTGAGGAATGGTACATTTCTTCTGAGGTGATGCATTTGCCATCTGTTGATCTCATTTTTCGAGCTAGAGAAATATGAAAATGGGAAGAAATTCTTTTCAATTTTGCTTTGCAAAGTTGCTTCTTAGATTCTAATGACAGAGACCACTGTTGATTTTATTTTTGTGACTTTTAGAAACAGTTTAAAGAAACTACAAGTTAATCAGAAACATAAAAGAAGTGTCTTTGGACACTTAATCTCAAACTGAGATTCTCAATAGGAAAATAAATAGGGCTTTATGGGCATACATTATAATCTGTGTTTAGAGTGCTTAATCTGCAGAAAAGAGCTGCATTTTTTTTCTAAACCCACAGATTTTTCTAACTTTCAGATGTAATTTTCCAATAACAGTCTATAATCACATATTTTGTCATTCTCTGTTTTAGAGAACTAGACTCAAGGCTGTCCTTACACCTCAGAAGAATGGTTATTGTAAGGGAAATGTAGTATACTGCTGCCTAATTTATACTGCCAGTTTTATTGCCCTTTTTTAATCAGTCTGTTAAAGAAGCTCAGGTGGACATAATTTGTTTTGTACAGTATCAGTCAAGACAGATAATTGTCTTATAGTTCCCATTTAAAGTCTTTAGAGTGGGAAAAAGTGCATGTTAGATCACAGGAAAAAGAGGAGTAAATGGAAATACAGATGAAGGTTGCATGTATGAGTGTATTTTTCACAAAGACAAACTTCTGCGTCTGTTTAGCAGCAGAGCTTTCCAATGCCTGTGGTTTTGATTTTAAAAAAGAAACCAGTTTATGCCCTAAAAGAGGAGAATAATTTAACAGGATCATAAAGGTTAGGATGGGAGTCTCCTACCCATTTTGTTTCCAGAGAAGCTGGGAATTAAGCATCCTTTTCATGTTGGAAATCAGGAAAGTAATAACAGAAGCTGTTGGCTGTGTCCTCTGTTATGAAGGTGATGCATATTAAGAACTAAAGCTGTTCTGCTAAGCTGTTAATGACCCTTCATTTACAAAAATTCAATGCTTTTAAAAGAAGACTCCTACATTTCAGTATTTTTAATATGTGCTTTAGGTTTCATTAGTCAAAAAAAAAAAACCCTACACCAAAACCCAACTTTTTTTTTCCTCTTGGGTTAACTGGAATACCCGTAGGAGGTTTGGATGGTTCACTGAGAAAGCTAACTGATTTTCCAGTTTTATTCAGATTTAGTTTCCACTGAATGTAATATGAATGTTCTTTCAGGGTAGGCCCTCCAAAATCTCAGCCCCTGCCAGTCCTAATTTCCATAATACTCACTTCTCCACACAGATTTATTTCTTTCATAATATGGCTACTTACACATAAGTAGAGCTGAGTATATGGACTTCTTCCTGCAGAAGCAAGTCCCACGTTTTTTACACTGTCCTTTTATTCCCAGTAGCTGTAGCTTGCTTAATTTAGTTACAGCTGCCTCTAAGTACCTCAAGTTCTTCAGCCACAGGATGAGTACAACATCTCTTCGCTCTTGTTGTGCCAGACTTCCTCATTGCCATATCTGACAGTAAACTAGTATTTCCTTCTCCAGAGTTTGTCTACCTGCCTGGTTCTTTCTACCAGTAAGCAGCTGGAAATATATTCCAGCCACTAGCATCTTTGCTGGGAAGGTTCTTGCACATCCATGTTGGAAGTTGTGTCCCAAGTGGAAGAGCATGTAACTAAGGAGAGAGGTGGCTTTGTCACTGAACCTTCCACCAGTCTTCTCCACATGACATCTGGGCTTGGTGGCCAGTAACAACCAAGTTCACTGAAAGAGAGACCCAGTCTAAGGTTCCCTTTTAAGGGAAGGTTGCAAGAGTTGGAAATATTTCAATTAATACGAAGTGTTAGTCATTGCAATTGCTGCACTATCAGAATTGAAACTGTGGTGTTGACCTGTCATGAATAAAATTGTCGACTTTATTAATGCACTTGATATGGTGTGTGTGGCTGCGTGCGTGTGTATTTATAAATACATACATTTAGCAAGTCATATGTGCTTGGTTTTTTTCTGCTAGAACAAAGATGGAAGATTCTGGTGTCTGTTAAATCGCAACAGTAACTTTAAGATATCCACTAAACAAATCAACTGGCCTGCCAGAAACCTCACAAAAAAGTGCACGAAGACCAGTTAAAGCTACTTTTGCTGTGGGAGGTAAAACGTGCAGTGGGAGATGTAGATTAGGAGGTGCGACATGTGGCCCAGAATCCACAGCGTGCTTATGAACAGTTTGAATATGACTCTGTTGATGGCTGTCTGTATTTCTGTGGACAGGGGGATTTTAGTTTTGCTGTCCGCAGAATGAAAACAAGGTAGTTTGAACAGTGCTAGTGAAGACCTAAAGTAAGAAGGTGTCACAGGCAAGGAGCTACAGCCTTGCACCAGGACCAGCTGCTGGGGGAAATGAGCAGTGTAACAGAAAGGCTTGGCTCTCAGTAAGCTTTTTGCTGGGCATTTTGTAGGACCAGGCTATGCTGACTGAGGATGTTTCTCCTAAAAAATAGTAGTTGTTTCTGTGAATTTGCTGTTAACCTCCTTTGCGGTTTCTGGATTTTATTTTGTATGACTTCATGCCAAGCCAGTTGAGGGAGAGAAGGAATTAAAAAAATGCTGAAAAATCAAACTGCATTTTTCAATTTGATTGCTTGAAATGTATTCAGCTTTCATCAATGAGAGAAGTTGCTTTCTTCACACTGATTAGAAGCTGTTACATGTAAACTGTGGGAAGTGACTTCACATAAACTATGTTCATTTTGCGTATGGCTTCTGATAGCAACCAAATCCCATGTGGTGTACCAGAAACGTGACATGTACATTTTAGTCCCAAGAATAACCAGAAAAAGATTATTCTTGAAATTAGCTTTCAATTAAGCAGTCCGTGCTTTGATCTCAATTAATTTCTAATGAATGAACCTACCAAGAATAAACACCTATGTACTTTCCTTGCTGTTTGGTTTGTTGTTTGGTTTTGTTTTATTTTTATTTCTTTTAGTTTGCAGGAAAATCTCAGAAGTTCCTGCCTTTTCAAGTATTCAAACAGTGAAGGTAACTTTGTTTTTCCTCCT